CTCTCTCTCTCTCTCTCTCGCGCGTTGAAAGTCAATGAATAAAAAAAGAAACTGCAAATTTCTTTTCCCTCCTGATCAAACTTCCTAAACCCATTCACCACCTTCACCTCCATGTTTAGACCCACCAAAATTTCTTTTCCCACCTGCATTCTCATCATTAACACCACCACCACATCATCACCCCTACACCACCATTACCCCGCCATAGACCCACCACCGGTGACCTTTGACCACCGTGAACCACCCTCAATCACCCACACTTCACGTTTTTTTTCTTCTTTTGTTCCTTTCCTTCTTACACTGTTAAGCACAACCACCACCAAGAAGGGGTGGTGATGCTGTTGTAGTTGTGCCATCGAGAACCACCAGGAGCCGCCACCAGCCTCCACCATTTGTTTTTCCTTGGGCTGCCAACGCAAAATCATAGTTTCCGTAGAGCAGGAGCAAGAACGAAATGGCAGGAGGTCGTCAGAGCTCCATTACCCACCTGCAACGCTAGCCCACTCTACCGTCACCACCCGCTCCCACCTTGGTCGCTGCCACTGTGAGGACTCCAACCATCGCCAACCACTGATACGATCGACAAAACAAAATCATAAAAGAATGGTGGTGCAAGGGAATTTACGGTGAAATGAGAGGCAGTAGGAGGTGGTCGGGCTCAGCAGCAACAAGGCGACAATAGCTGGTGCTGTGATGATGGAAGGAGGCCGACAGCCTCCTGCTGCCGGTTTCTGTTGCTTTCTGATGAAGACGAAGACAGAGGGGGATGGAGGGACCTCACAAGTAGCAGCATAACAACAATGGAGGATGGTGGAGGGGCTGTTTTTGGTGGTGGCAGTGGATGGCGACGAGGTGGCAGAGGGGTTCCGAGGGTGGCTTTTCCTTCGGTTCTTCTTCTTGTTTTTGAGATGGAATCGGAGAGGGAGGGTTGGGTTGGTGGTGGGGCTTAAGGATGGGTTATAAGGGAGGTGTTGGGTGGGTTTAGGGTGGTGGAATCGTGGTGTGTAGGTGGTAGAGTGGTGGTGTGTTGTGTGTGTGTTACTGCGTGGAGAGTAGAGATGCATGTGCGTGAGAGAGAGAGAGGAGAGAGAGAGGAGAGGAGAGATGAGAGAGAGAGAGAGAGAGAGAGAGAGAGAGAGAGAGGAGAGAGAGAGAGAGAGAGAGAGAGAGAAGAGGGCCCACTTTTATATTTATTAATAATAAAATTTTAAAAAGTAAAAGAAAAATGAAAACTAAATTCATTAAGGGTATAATAGTCATTTTAGTTTGGACAGGGACCATAACTGCAAGCAAACTAGCTCAAAAGGACCACCAACCCGAAAAACTCGTGGTTTGGACCAAAACCCCAAAAAAATGCATACCACAGGGACCATTTTTGCAATTTTGTCTTATTACTATTATTATTGTTTTTCAGGTCTTACTATTATTATTGTTTTTCAGGTCTGCAAAATCACATGTTTTTTATCCACTGCCTGCTTCACCCTTTTAGTTCAAAATCTTCAAGGAATAAATGAAGCAACTTTGTAGGGACTGAAAGGTTGGGTGGGACATTCTTTGACAGATGTTGCTTACGTATATTTCTATTATTAAGGACCACACTAGAATTTGAATCATGAACTCCAAATCATGATATTTCGTTGGGTATTTAGGATAACAAGTGGGTTGATTGGGTGTTGTAGATATAGATGAAAATAAATAAACTGTAAATGCGATTCAACAATAAAGATATGAATGCATAATGCATACTAATTACTTAAGAAAATGATGTGATTCAACAATAAAGATATGAATGCATAGTGCATACTAATTACTTAAGAAAATGATCACTATGCAAACAATATTTATTCAGTAAAAAAATTATATATTTTCGGGTAATACCTGAATTACCCGAATCCGACCCACTACCTGAATTACCCAAACCCGAATTAAATTTGGGTAGGGTAACGGGTAATTTTTTAAATATGAAAAACCTGAATTACCGGACCTGAATTACCCGAAACCCGAAAAATTTACCCGATCAACACCTCGTACCCTTCATCCCCAAGCAATCCCGATCAATACTACTCCAATTTAACCCCTTAGCCTATAAAAACCGAGCCTAGAAACTTGTGTGCACGGTATTAGATAGCTTGCTGGCTGCTGCTATAGGGTAGTGTAGTATACGACGTAGGAATCAGCTTAGGCTATCCGGAGTGGGATAGAAACCCACGCGTGGAACGCTTACTTGGCATCTAAAAGACTCGTGAACACCACCCCAAGGGCTGGTGGCTTGGGTGTGGCGTGGGTGCAAAGACGCATCAAGACAACCAATAACAAATCAGCAGCAGCAACAACAACGTCTGTTTCACCCATTTTCTCTTTTATTGAAGTTACATATATGATCCTTGAAAATATTTTTTTATATCTCATTATACCCTTATACTTATCTTTAAATTAGATTAAACCCTAATATATATATATATATATATATATATATATATATATATATAATATGGTTTTATTATTCTAGATTTTTAAAATATATATTTATGTTATAAATTATGTTTTTTAATTAATTTAATGCTAAAACAAATAAAAAATAAGAAAAAAGAATATTGTGGAGTGATAACTGATAACCATTTTCAATGTCTAGTGGGTTGGTGATGAAGCTGACGTGGCACAGAGGTGGCAACATTTTTTCGGTTGGTTGGTGGTGACTAGGGATGAGATTTAGAACCGGAAAACCGGACCGGAACCGGAATATATAGAACCGGTTCCGGTTCCAGGTTTAAAAATGGCTTTATCCGGGTTCCGGGTAATTCGGGTTTGGGTCCATCGGGTCCGGGTAAACCGGGTCTAAAAACCGGAACCGGTGTTAGGAACCATAACCACTTTTTAGGGCCGGAACCGGTTTTTATGAATCGTTTAAAAGATGCATATCTCATTCGTTTCAACTCCGATTGACATGCAGTTTTTTCCAACGTGTAGTTTAGAGTTTGTACATGATTTTAGACTATAAATTTGCCATTTTTAGTTTCATATTCATTGAGTTACAGTCCCTCAAAGTTGAGATATCAAAGCTGAAAGTTTTTAGTTTTTCAGTTTTTTTGTAATCTATGAAAGTTTTAAAACATGCATATCTAATTCATTTGAAGTCGGATTGACATGTGGTTTTTTCCAACTTGTAGTTTAGAGTTTGTACATGAGTTTAGACTATAATTTTGTCATTTTTGGTTTAATATTCAATGATTTACAGTCCTTCGAAGTCAGGATATCAAAACTGAAAATTTTCAACTTTTCAGCTATTTGTTTTTGTACTTTGTATATCAAGTGAAAATGTTAACACATGCATATCTCATTCGTTTAAAGTCGGATTGCCATGCGATTTTTTTCCAGAGTATAGATTAGAGTTTGTACATGATTTTAGACTATAATTTTGTCAGTTTTGGTTTCATATTCAATGAGTTACAATCCCCCAAAGTCGGGATATCAATATGAAAATTTTCAAAGTTCAACCCACTAAGTAGTAAGTAATTACCAAAAAATTCCGGTTTTTCCGGGTTTTTCGGTTCTAAACCCACTTTATCCGGTTCCAACCTACCCACTTTGATGTTTCCGGGTTTTCCGGTTCTAGACCCACTTTACCCGGTACCGTACCCGGAACCGGTTCCTATATACCGGTCCGGTTTCCGGTTCTACAAAATCCCGTGAACCGGTTCCAGGTTTTCCGGGTCCGGGTTTGGACCCATTTTCATCCCTAGTGGTGACCACTCCCCATAGCCTTATACACAAGAATTTTGAAGCGTTGGTGAGAAAGAATCGTACCTATAAGTATCACTCTTTGATTCTTGGTTGCTAGCCTCTTAAATTCCATACGTATATACACACACATATATAGCATGTTTCTTCCTTGACTTTTATGAACTGAGTGTGCTTTCTATATGTATGCACTGTCTTGGGCGGAATACCATCTGTGGGGTTTGATATATAAAACTGATTTTGGTAGAGAGAGATCTGTTTGTTTCTAGTTCTCAATCGATTTCTTTTATTTAATGATATAAAGGGTTGGATTTTTGTAAGTCAAAAACTGATTAGGTTTGTTAATGGTTGTTGACCCACTGAAAGTCAGAGGCTTTAGTTGTTGTTGAGTTGTTGACCCATATGTATGGGTGGTCAAAGTCAGAATGAAGTTTGAATCTTAAGAAGTTATAGGGATTCCCGGCCCGGCCTTACCTTGTGCCACACGCTTAGGGCCCCAATTTCAATTACAGATTGTTAGTTTATTACGCACTACGCACTACGCACGTCGCACGGACGCTACAATCAACGAGTACTAGCGACGATTCGATTTCAATGTTCTTCTTCCTTCTCGTCTTCTCCTCATGTCCCTCCAATCTCGATTCTTGATAGTCTGAAACGCAGCCAACAACTTCTCTATTCTTCCTTCTTGGTCCATTCTCTGATTCTCGATTGAGATTTGACGATTCGCGATTGTTGATTGTAAGAAGTAAGAACAACAGTATTTTATCTTTTTAGTTTTTATGTTTCAAATACACTTTCATTAGGAGTATAGTACAACATCATTGCATCAAATATAGATGATTGAGTGATTGTTATATCAAGAAATTGAAGATAATCTGTATACACATATATGAATTAATGAATATAGATACACCAGTTTTAAATTAAAGAATTTGTTCATAGATTTCTAAATGTTTCAATGACTTACAACTTTTTCATGTTTGTCATCCATTCCAGGGGCGGCTCAAGCGTGAAGTGTTTGGATCTGTTTAAAATTTTGAGTTTTCCATTTGACTCACTGTGTCAAGCAAGCAAGCAGGAGGTATTTCCTATCCATTACATCCAGTTTACTGTTCAATCACTAATTAAAACTGATTTTTATAAATATTAAAGATCAAAAGATGCAAGTAATGTATAAAACACATAACAACTTGGATATAAGAACGTACGAGAACAAATTACCACTTTGCCTTCTTGAAGGAGGATTCCTTTGCAGAACATGTCGTAAAGATCTTTCATACTTTTCATGAGTAGAGTAAATATTTTGAGAGTTTGACATTTTGGATTAACTTTTCATAGTCCTTAGGCAATTTGGGCTTCCATATATCATAATCCTCCTTTATATTATTTAGAGTTTAAACAATAAAAAACGCCAAACTCGTGCACCCAAGGTTTAAAAAAACGGAATCAAAAAATCAAAAATCAAAAATCAAAAAATAAATATAAAAATCTTCTTCTTCTTCCTTAAATCTAATAAATAAGTGTAGTTTTGCCACGTGTCATTAGCTCCGCCCTCCCCAATCATCTTTCCCCCCTAAACTATCTAAGTATAATTCCAAAATTGCCCTTTTCCATTGTGTATTGTCCTGCATTTCTGATTAATAAAAACATTAACACCAATCCAATAATTAAGGCTTCCTTTTATTATACAGATATACATTCCAACAATATAATTGCCGATAATAATACCTGTATACTCTTGAAATTTATATTCTGATTTAAATGAAATATAAAAATCATTAATTTTATTCCTATATTTAAGGCATTTCAATTAATACAGTCCGATAATTGCTTTGTAAAACAGGAACATATCTACAATGATTCCATAACCAATCAAATTTCTTAAAATCAGAATATAATTTATCGGGATATCATATTTTCAGATATTAATATATTAGTATTACTATTTAGTATTTTTATAATAAATCTCAACCGAATGTCATCTTTTATGTTTTACTACTTATAAATAACATCATTATCAAAAAAAAAAGTTCTCGCCTTTACCCAAATTCCAACTTTCGCGTTTCTAGAGAATATCTAATTACAATTCTGCAGAACATAACGTCGATGCATCAGGTTGGACTCTTAACTTCTTCACTGTTATTCTTTTCATTCTCCATGTTCTTATATTTTATGACTTTTTTGGTGTTATGAGTAAAAAGTACGTAAACTAATGCTTAACTGCTATTTGTGTATAATGTAATTTATATGTTTGTATGATGTGTGTATATGTTTTTTATTTTGTTCCCGTTTACATTAAAATACACAAAATACATTGGTTTTTTGAGTGCTAAATTCCAGAAATACCAATGTACTTTTGTATAAATCATAAGTTATATAATATAACTTATATTTGAGACTTTTTGTGTGGCTTATGAATTATCTTTTCTGGTTTTTGTCCCTTTACTAAATATATATTTAGTTGAATAACATACAACCATTGAAGTTTCTTTGATTGGTCACTAATCAAACATATGATAAAATTCACTATTTTTCCTAGCAATGAAATATTTTATTGCACACACTCAATAACAACACATAATCTCTATGTTGATGTTTACACTTAAATAAGTGTCTCTATGTCAAATATAAGTTTTTTTTTTCATACTTGTTAAATACTTAATAAAATTTTAAAAAATTTACATTTATACCATTCATGATGTATTTAAAAGTTATGATATTTTTTTATTGGACAAACAAAATTACGTTTATATTTTTAAAATCTATATATTTTTACTTTACCAACTGTGGTTTCCACGGGTTTAACCCTAATTATATATCCTGTAAAACTCTATTAAAAAAACATAATATACACACCCACGCTTTTGACTATTTGAGGAATATTTATTTTTTCTTTTAATTTAACAGCTATAGACTTTTTACAACTTTTTGTTTAGTAGCCCACTAGGCCATACTGCCTTTGTTGTCTCCTCTCGTTAGATTTAAAAACCCTATCTCGCCACATCTCTATCCTGCCTATCAAGTTCTTGCGCTCTCGTGTCGTCTTCTCTCTCACGAATACAACACATACAACAAGTACGTGATTCAACAGTCTTCTCTCTTACGTTATTCTATACACCTGTGACTTCGTTAGTTAGTGGGAGAAAGAATGAAGAAATTAGATCAGAGGAAAAAAGTCAAAATCAACCAAAAAAACGTACATATCTGGTATACGCCCCCGCCTCTACACGATTCTATACGCTTCACTACTTGAAGGCGTATGTATCATTTAGACCCCATGAGGCGGCCTCATGTTCGATTTATCGCCGTCTCGCCTTAAGGCATACGTTTCTCCCCCTTTTTTTAAACCATGCATGCACCACAATGTCAAAAGAAAGATTAAATGAATTCGCTATTTTGTCAATTCAAAAATATTTAGTAAAAGAAATTTATTAAAAGATTTACATCTAAAATGAGTAGAAAATTTTTGCTTAATGTCCTAAATATATTCGCAAAAAACAAAAACATAATAGTTTTTTTTTAACTCTACAGTTTATAAACTTTTTAGTTTATTATTGCTAGACAAAGATGTATCTTTGGTGTTTGATTTGATCTGTGGGTTTGGTCTTTGGTGCACATATCTATTTTTTTTTAACTCTTTAACCATGTCATCATCATACCAGAAGGAAAGAAAGAAGGAGAAAGCATGTTGGACATAAATCTATTTAGGGAGGAAAAGGGCAACAACCCGGAAATTATACGCGAGTCTCAACATCAACGGTTTGCAGATGTAGAGATTGTTGATGAAATTATTCATCTTGACAAGGAGTGGCGGCAACGTAAGCTTCATTTTGATTAATCTTTGTGTTTATAACTTTATATTACATAACACAGGAAGCAGGATTTACAATGTATGCACAACTATTTTATATTTTGATTTGCAGGTCAATATAAGCTTGAACAGCTGCTCAAAGTCTTTAACAATATCAACAAAGAAGTGGCTAAACTTAGCATTGTAAGTCTTTTGTTTTTTTCACATGGTCACATGTTATATATTGAAAATCTTGCCTTCCATTAGCATAACAAACTTATAGCATATATAACACCAAATTCCAAAATTTGTTTCTTTTGAAGGCCGGGGAAGATGCAAGTTCCAAGATTAAAAATACAGAGGAAATCAAGGACTCAATTGCAAAGAAAGGTGCTAAGGTTCAGGAGGCCCGTGCAGCATTATATTCAAAATTGAGCATGGTTGGGAATTTTGTGCATGATTCAGTTCCTGTTAGCAATGACAAGGTGGACATTATTTGTTTCTTTAAATAGATTAGTAGCTTGTAATTAACATTCATCATCTCTTATTTACTAATGATAAATTTAGGCAAACAATGTTGTTGTCCGGACATGGGGAGAGAAAAGAACGGAGCCAAAACTAAAAAATCATGTCGAGCTTATGGAACTTCTTGGAATTGCTGATCTAGAAAATGGTATTATATTACAGTTTATTTGATTGCAGAAATTACAGGTCTACTGCCTCTTTATTTATTTATTTATTTATATTTAGGCGCTAAGATAGCTGGCAAGGGTGGCTTTTGTTTGTTAGGCGATGGTTTGCATCTAAATCTAGCTCTTATAAAGTTTGGTCTTGATTTTCTGGAGGAAAGGGGTTTCACATCATTACAAACTCCATCGTTTATGACGGAAAATATAATGGGAAAGTGTGCTCATTCAGTCCAGTTTGATAAAGAACTTTACAAGGTAATAGCAATACAATACGCCTGCAATTTTTGTGGAAAATATTCAAGGTTACAGTTTTATTCTTTTTTTTTTTAATAGGTGACAGGTGAGGGTAAGGATAAGTATCTGATTGATACCACTGCACAACCACTTTGTGCTTATAACATAGATGGCCGGGTTCATCCAACAGAGCTACCAATAAGGTTACTTTATTACCCTTTTTATGGTCTTAATTTTTAAGTACATAGAGGGGCTGTTTCTTTCTTTCCCCGATTAAGTCCTGTATGGTAAAGTGGCTGAATGTGTAATGATGTCTGTTTGGATAAAGTGTTTGTATACATTAGGCCGATTAAACGAGTCTAAATGACTATATTTCCATCAAACAGTTCTCACAATGTGAGAGGAGCTGAGAGGGAAAAGAAGGGCAAATAGGTAATTAATTAAAGGGTTGGTGTCTGAATACATTAAGCCGTGATTTTTGGCTTAACCCATTAAGTAAAAAAGAAACATCCATGTATAGTTGTCCTGGTTAAGTGCTTAACCTGTTAAGTTAATCCCATTAAGTAAACAAAAAAACATTCTATTAATGTTGAAAAAATTATCAGACAGGTGGGATATGCAACTTGTTTCTGGAAAGATGCTGGCTCAGATGGAATATTCGATGCTTCTCAGTGTGAGAAAGTTGAACAGTTGTGCATCACCAGCCCAAATGGCAATGACTCATGGGACATGCATGAGGAGATGATCAAAAACTCTGAGGAGTTCTATCAAATGGTAATGCCTTATTTTTTTCACAATAAACGCAAATATTTTTAATTAATATCTATTTTACGCAAATTTTGTGTTGCAGTTGAAATTGCCATATCGTATAATGTCTGTAGTCTCTGGTGCCCTAAATAATGCTGCAGCAAAGACGTATGATTTGGAAGCATGGTTTCCTGCTTATAATAATTACAGACAGTTGTTGTCGTGTTCAAACTGCACTGATTACCAATCGAGAAAGTTGGAGCTCAGATTTGGGCAGAAAACGGTTGGTTTTTTTAATCGTATTTCATCATTAAGTGGTGCATGGTGTGTTGATTTTGAGTTGGTTTTGCAGAGCAATGAACAAACAAAGCAATACTGCCATTTATTGAATTGCACACTCACAGAAGCAGAGAAAACCATGTGTTGCATTCTTGAGAATTACCAAAGGGAGGATGGTGTTGAAGTGCCCCAAGTGTTACAGCCTTATATGGGTGGGAAGACGTTCATGCCTTTTCAAGCTCCTCCTGCTGATAAAGAAACAAAAGCTACTCAGACTCAGAACGGAAATTTTGTGCAGCCCACAGGTACTCAGACTCAGTCCCTCTTTCATCGATTTCTTTTTTAGTATACATTAGATAGATTATATTATAAACCCCAAAGTCCTGATTCTGTGATGTTATGAAACTTCTGATGATTTTGTGAGGTCACAAGTTTGGAGCAAAGTAGTAATTAGTACAATATATGTGATCATATCTATTTATTTATTTATTTATCTTAACTCTTTAGGGATGCATCTTTGGTGTTTGATTTTATCTGTGGGTTTGTTGCACATATCTATTTTTTTAAAACTCTTTAACCATGTCATCATCATACACCAGAAGGAGAGAAAGAAGGAGAAAGCATGTTGGACATAAATCTATTTTGGGAGGAAAGGGGCACCAACCCAGAAATTATACGCGAATCTCAACGCCGCAGGTTTACAGAAATTGGTGATGAAATTATTCATCTTGACAAGGAGTGGAGGCAACGTAAGCTTCATTTTTATTGATCTTTGTGTTTGTATTACATACATAACTCAGAATGCATGATACAACCATTTGTTTCATTCTTTATATTTTGATATGCAGGTCAAACTGAGCTCGCACAGTTGCATCAAGACTTGCCCAGGACTGTAAGTCTTTTTTTTTTAGTCATTTCATGTTTAATTGGAAAATCTTGTCTTCCATTAGCTTGATGAATTTATATTATATATAACAACTAAATTGCAAAATTGATTCTTTTAAAGGCTGGGGAAGAGGAAACCAAGGACCTAATTGCAAAGAAAGTTGTAGAGGTTCAGGAAGCCCGTTCAGCATTATGTTCAAAATTGAGCAAGGTTGGAAATCTTGTGCATGATTCAGTTCCTGTTAGCAATGATGAGGTGGACATTAATCACATTATTTTTTCTTTAAATACATTGGTAGCTCACAACATTCATCACCTCTTATTTACTAATTATATATTTAGGCAAATAATGTTGTTGTCCGGACTTGGGGAGAGAAAAGAACGGAGCCAAAACTAAAAAATCATGTCGAGCTTGTGGAGCTTCTTGGAATTGCTGATCTAGAAAAAGGTATTATATTGCAAATTATTCAATCGATAAAAATGCAGGGTTAATGCAGCTTTATTTATTCTAGGTGTTAAGGTAGCTGGTGGTAGAGGGTATTGTTTGAAAGGTGCTGGTTTGCATTTAAATCATGCTCTTATAAAGTTTGGTTGTATTTTTCTTGAGAAAAGGGGTTTCAAGTCGATTAAAACTCCATTCTTTATGGTGCATGATATAATGGAAAAGTGCGCTCAATTAACCCAATTTAACGAAGAACTTTACAAGGTAATAGCAATACAATAATCCTACAGTTGTGTGGAAAATATTCAATGTCACAGTTTTATTCTTTTTTTTTTTTTTATTAGGTAACAGGTGAGGGAGACGATAAGTATCTGATTGCTACTGCTGAACAACCGCTTTGTGCTTATAACATAGATAAATGGATTCATCCACAACAGCTACCACTAAGGTTACTTTAGTACCCTTTTTACTGTCTTAATTTTTAAGTACATAGTGTGGATGTTTCTTTTTTTTTTTGCCCTATTTTACACTTATATTTCTAAAAGCAATTTTCACAATGTGAGAGGAATTGAAAGGGAAAGAAACATTCTCATACTTTTGGCTTACCCATTAAGTAAAAAAGAAACATCTATGTATTAAGTGCTTAACCTGTTAAGTTAAGCCCATTAAGTAAAAAAGAAACATCCTCATATTCTCTTTTTTGCTGATTGATGTTGAAAATATTATCAGATATGCTGGATATTCATCTTGCTTCCGGAAAGAAGCTGGCTCACATGGTCATGACACTCGTGGACTCTTCCATGTTCATGAGTTTCAGAAAGTTGAACAGTTCTGCATCACCAGCCCAAATGGAAATGACTCGTGGGACATGCATGAGGAGATGATAAAAAACTCTGAGGAGTTTTATCAAATGGTATTTATTTTTTTCACCATATATAGATGCATATATTATTGACTAACATCAATTATATGTAAATTTCATATTGCAGTTGAAATTACCGTATCGTGTGGTCTCTATAGTCTCTGGTGAACTAAATGATGCTGCAGCAAAGAAGTATGACTTGGAAGCATGGTTCCCCGCATCCAGCACTTACAGAGAACTTGTGTCTTGTTCAAATTGCACTGATTATCAGTCGAGAAAGTTGGAGATCAGATTTGGGGAGAAAAAGGTTGGATTTTCTTTTTTCCATTATTGAATTGTATTTGTTTATTTCATTATTAAGTTGTGTACTGTTGATTTTGAGTTGTGCAGAGCAATGAACAAACAATGCAATATTGCCATTTATTGAATTCTACACTCACAGCAACAGAGAGGACTATCTGTTGCATTCTTGAGAATTACCAAAGGGAAGATGGTGTTGAAGTGCCTCAAGTGTTACAGCCGTTTATGGGTGGGAAGAAATTCATCCCTTTCCAAGCTCCTCTTGTTAAAGCAACAAAAGGAAAGAAATCAAAGTAGTTGCTTGAAAGTGTGTTACTACTTTCTTATTGGTTCAACAAATTAATACTTAATTTCTATGGTTTTTTTTAGATGATAGATTTTTTTTTTATTCTTATTGAAACTTGTCGTTTTGGACATGCTGGATGATTTAAAAAGTTTCATCATCTCAATACAGCATCTTAACTTTCATTTCTAACTGCTATTTTTTTATAATTTTATTTAATTGTTTTTTCTTTTCTTCTTCAAGCTTTGTACTTTGAAGGTACATGAAGTATATGTCGAAATTTATCTAGAACAATTCGGGCATACCAAAATAAATTAATGGGTGGAAACAATTCGAGCAGTTTAAGACAAAAGGCTTATTTTATAGAGATGTGGGGAAGTGATGGCTGAATTTGGTGAACATGTGTGAATTGGTAGTTGTTGGTGGATTTTTTTTCTCTTTTTGAGAAATGATGAATGCGGAACATTTTCTTTCAATTGAATTCCAAAAAAAAGCTAATTACAAAGATTATATACAACAGTTACACTAAGCCTTTTCTTCTAACATAAGCCTAACAAATTGTAACTAAATAACCAACTTTTCTAACAGCTAATTGTACCAACAGAAACTTCTAACAGACTTAACTGAAAAAGGATTTTTCCGTTAATAACTTAACTACATCATCCCCCCTTAAGATGGAGCCGTAAAAATTGTTTAAAGGACCATCTTGGATATAATGGGCAAAAGCTTTGATCTTGGCAATGATTTGGTTAGAATATCAACCAACTGAGATTGAGTACGAATAGGCATAAGGCGAATAGCGTTATCAATCACCTTGTCACGAATGAAATGTCAATTAATTTCTATATGTTTAGTACGTTCATGAAAGATGGATTGTTGGCTAGTTGTATGGCAGAATTATTATAAAAAAAGATTAATGATGAAGAAGAAGGTTTGAAACCAAAATCATGTAGAAGATGCCTGAGCCATATAAGTTCACTAGTAAGAACAACAATGGCATGATACTTGCTTCTGTTGAAGATCGAGATACAATCGTTTGTTTCTTAGATTTCCATTAAATCAAAGAATCTCCTAGGAAGACCCGGATTTTGTTTGATGAATCGTAAAAGATGATGAACAGCTGGTAAATGTGGTTGCTTGGGATTAGTAACATATTGACTTAATCAATTGACTGCATAGGCAATATCTGGTCTTCTGATTGTCAAATATAAAAGTCTTCCAGTTAATCGTCTATATTGTGATGGATCACAGATTGGTGCACCTTGAAAGTTAGAAGTTTTAAGCTTGGTATCCATAGGATAAGAGACTGGCTTGGAAGCCAAAAATCCAGTATCTTCAAGTAGTTCCAGAGCATATTTCCGTTGACAAATAAAAATCCCAGTTTTGGATCTCGCAATTCCAAGACACAAAAATAATTTGAGATTTCCAAATCTTTTAGTTTGAATTGTTGACTCAGAATTTGTTTGAGTTTGTTGATGCCATCAATTGAAGCCCCGATAATTACTATATCATCAACATACACCAATAATGCAACATAAGAAGAAACAGATCCTTTGTAGAACAAAGAATAATCAGCTTTTGATAGAAATAGTATAAGCTTTTTGAGTATGAGAATGCTTATCATATGAAAGAACATCAGAAAGAGGATATTTTGCATTTGTTTGTGAAATAGTATGACCTTGTAACAAATTACAATGATAATCCTTCAAGTAAGAAGGTTTGGAACAAGTTCTAGCACGTCTTCTGGGATTTGGGGGCATGGATGGTTCATTGAGAATATGATTTTGAGTGTTCGTATTGGGTACAGGTGGTATTTCATATTCATCCATGTCAGGGGTATTTTGGTCAACAATTGGTATTATAAAAGAAACAATGGGATTTGATTGATTGACATGAGTAGAATGGATAAAGGGAAATCTATCTTCATGAAATATGACATCCCTTGAAATGAAAACTTGTTTGCTGATCAAATCAAGCAGTTTATACCCTTTTATGCCAATTGGATATCCAAGAAAAATGCAAGTTGAGGCTCTTGGATCAAATTTGGTTCTTGAAGCTTTCAAAGTGCAAGACATCCAAAAGTTCTGAATGTAGAATAATCTGGTTTTTGACCATATAATTTTTCAAATGGAGAAATATTATCGAGAACCTTGGAAGGTGTTCGATTTATCAAAAATGTGGCACACAACACACATTCAGCCCAATATTTAGAAGGCCGATATCTCTTTTGAAATGGAATTAGAATCCATGAGATCACGATGTTATTGCTTCGCGTCCAGGATTTGAAACGATCTACTTCAGTTGCAGGTGTTTGTGTAATGGTTCCATCAATGAAATCGAGCTTGTTTTTCACAGATAAAGCAATAATCATTGCTCTACTCCAAGCGTCATAGTTTTCTCCGGTGAAAATCTGAGAAACTAAAACAGTTCCAGGACATGATGTAGAAAATAAGGATCATTGTTAGAATCCAAATTCTGATTGGAATTCTGACTATTTTGCTCAGGGATCGACATTCTTGAATGAGAACGAAGATGAACAGTGAAAATCAAAGATGAACGACGAATTGAATGAAAAAATTGAATCGTAATGAAAGAAGATGAAATATGAATTGAGAATTGTAACTGAGATGAAAAGAAGAAAGAAATCGGAATCAAAAGAATCGGAGATCAAACGCAATTCGAGATTTTGTATGTGTAACTTGGTCAAAACAGGCACCAAAATAAGTTATAGAAACCGTAAAAATGGATTAAAATTGCTAATATAATCCGGGTGCACCGCTCCTACATGTTATTATACAGTCGAGTCAACATACTAACTTATATGGGCGTGTTTGGCATCAAGCTTTTGGAAGCGTTTGGGAGCTTCTAGCTTTTAGCTTTTGACAAAACGCTCTTGTTTAAACAAAAAGTTTCGTTTGGTAGTACGAGCGTTTAGCTTTTAGTTAAAACAAAACGCTACAAATCTAAAAGCTACTTCATGTAGCGTTTAACAAAACGCTACTGAGCTTTTGAAATCAATTTTCATAATTACCCTTAAAAATATATTTATATATTTATTTATTTTTAATCAATTGTCCTCTTATGTAATTTTATATATTTCAAAAACTTCCAGCTACTTTTGCCAAACACTCATATAACAAATAAAAGTTACAGCTTCCCGCTACCAGCTACCCGCTACACGCTACCCGCTTCCAGCTAACAGCTACTTTTGCCAAACACGCATGTTGCATAAAAAATAATTGCCCAAGGTCTTCATGATTTCTAATGGCTAACCCAAAATGCCTTGGAAATATTTTATTTCACTTGTATAGCATTTCCAGCCAACTCCACCGCTTATGTGCCTACAAACAACAAAATCAAGATTAGAAGATGTTCCATTTACTAGTAATTCAGATCATATCTCGAACCAAGAAACACCATATTTAAGCTTTTATGTCCTTTGTTTTAATTCAAATCTTTATGAGGATTAAAAAAATGTATGTTACTGGAAAACATAAATAGGTAAATTAACGTCAATATACAAAATCTCATATGTTACTTTTGATCATCGTATTGTAATCCCATCATCATTCAACAAGGATATCAGAGAAAAATTACATTAGCAAGCAAGGTACTCAAGGACAACTGCAAAATAAAAAGAAGCACCAGTTTCTTCTTATTGGTTATGTTACTTTTGATTTGTGTGTTTGTATAATAATTTTTGTTCTTTTGAACAACAAAACTTTTTATTAACATAAGAATGCCAACAGGAAGCTGGCACGATGATATAGTACAAAAAACAAAATAAAAACAACACCAACGAGTACATGCACTTACCCCAGGACCTAAAAACCCCAAGTTTTCATTTGGACAATGAAACAAAACAGATCATGCAACAAACAAAAAGAACCACAACAAGCCCTCCATAGCCAACCACATGTAAAAAATGGAAGACCTTCAAAACATCACACAACCGGAAATCCTGCCAAAAAAGATGAATAAGCAAATCAATGAACTTTGGAATAGTCACACTAGAATGAAGATTAAATAATGAGTTATGAATGCATACCTTTATTGGATTCCATGTTGTAAAATACGACGGATCCAAATTGACTTAAATAATATTAGCTCAATGCGGAATGGGATCAAAAATTATCAAAGCGTAATAATCACAACGAAATACGAATAAAATAAATAGAATAGAGACACAGGAATTTACGTGGAAAACCCAAATCGGGAAAAAAACCACGGGCGGAGGAAGCCGAGAAACAATTCATTATAATTTGCAGTGTTTACAGGGATTATGAAAGAGATTACAAATAGAGTGGGAGAGCTAAAATATACGGTGGTGTATCAATATATATATATATATATTATATATATATATATATATATATTTGATTTGGTTCGTGGGGTTATATTGTAATGAAATGGGTTAGGCTATTTATAGCCAAAGGAATACCAAACGAATTGAACTACATATGCCGTCCAAAGAATTTGCGCCTACCAAATTAGAATAACAAATAGATATATATTAATATTTATGGTCAAAAGGTTGGCAATGTGAGGCGCCTCCATTTATGACTAAAATTGTTGCGCCTCCATCTTCTAATTCATATATATTAGTCAAAGTCTCCGTCCATTATTATTTCACATTTCTTATATATTACTATTCATAGTCAAACTATGAATAGTAAATGATAAGTTACGGAAATAACCCCTGAACTATTTGCCACTTGCTAATTTTGGAGGCAACTTTTCCACAATCTCCACCTTGACATCAAAATTAAGCAAGTCATGCTTTACGATTAGTCAAAACCTATAGCTCACCAAACTCTAAAACTTCCATAAGAACCTGCAATTTTATATAGAGAAAAATTGTTTCCGAAAAATAAATAATACTTCCTCCACCACGAGCCTTCAGGCTCAACTGCGATCAGAAACACCCACCATGTCCAAACATAATTTGAACTTGGCTATAGGAAGACTTTTAGTGAACATATCAGCGGGATTATAATCTGTATGAATCTTGTCCACAACACAATCACCTTTTTCAATGATATCCTGCACAAAATGATAACGAATATCAATATGCTTTGTTCGGTCATGAAACATTTAATCTTTACTCAAGAAGAT